GTGCCTGAACAGGCCCACACATCAAGCCCACAGCCAGGTTTGTCCTCCCACGACTTCTTTAACCAACCCTCCTCTTATTTGTTGCTACGTCCCCTGATGTTTTTCAGTACTGCCTGTCAGTCTTATCTGTCTCATATTATCTGCCTGCTTCCAGTTAGACCTTTACAAGGACGACACATGACAGAACAACAAGTTTTAAATATCTGCTTTTTTTGTTACATTTGTTACATTTATATTTGTTACATTTTGTTACTTTCATTCCTTTAGCTTCTTTGTCTTCAGCCCTCTTCTCGCTTCCCTCTAATATCAAAATATGGATGATTTTCATAAAATTTGCACATTTGTACTTCCTGAAAAGGATGAACATTTTCCGTTATGGCCTCATGTTTGCACACCAGGTACTGTTTTCCATTATCTGGGGAAATTTGCAGGTGAATTTGAATATTACTTAGACTCTGCTGTGACGTCAAATACAAAGCCTCAGTTAATGGGCAGTGCAGAGTTTTCCTCACATTGCTCACTCGCTCAGTAAATAAAAGGTATCTAATAGTTTTAAAGTGCTCTGGTGAATCTTACAATAACGCCATCCCCTTCGTCATACTTCCCTCCCGGCTGTTCCCTGAATGATAAGCGCCTTTCAAAGGCCAGGAATTTCTTTTCGCTTCATTTCAATTTGAAAAACACAGAAACCTTAAATGGCATTAAGTGATAGCAGCTCTGTACCTGAAACTGTGTTTTGCTGGATGATATAAACTGTGAAATCAGTTTTCTTAGTTTACACTGTTACAGCTCTGCAGCTTTTTGCAGCAACCTCCTCAACTGTTTGTTTCTTTTCTGATACCAACTTTTCCCTCTTTCTTTCTTATATGCTCTTCAACCTTTTGCACAACGTTTACCGCTCTCCTACTTCGCTCGATAACAGCGCACGCTTGTGTTTGTGCTATTTGTGCTTCTGGGTTTGGTGCTGATTTTCTGCATGCTGTGCCGTACTTGAAATTCATTCTCTCTATCTCTCTCTGCAGATCGCTCAGTCACCTTGGAAACTTGTAGGCAGGTTGTTACCGACCTTCACAGCAGTCTGCGGAAAACTGTCATGTTATACACTACGGTCAGTGTGTGCGTCTGTGTATATGAATGCGTGAAAATGGTGGGTGGATGGTAGGGTTGCCAACTCCCTGAAAAATAAATAAGGGACACCTCGTGGCCAGGGCCGGGCGACCCAGTTGTCTTCACCCTTCCCAGTGTGGTGAATTTTCTAGCTCTTTTTTTGTGTGTGAAATTATTTTTTTAACCCTTTGACTTGAATTTGATTTAAGTAGATGTGTATTCTTTGTGATATGAACACATGTGAAACAAATGATCATTTAGCCATTTATTTTTAGCTCAAAATGACAACATTAACACAATAAAACAGGTCTCTTTCTTAAACAGAAGCCTGTCATGCTTAACTTTTGAGAATATAAGTAAATCTTTCTTTAAAAGAACTCTGTCCTGCTTAACTTAAAATAATAGAAAACAATAGAAAGAAAAACATTCTTGTAACAGTGCACATTTAGTGCATTTAGTACAATCGGCTTCAGTTGAGCTATTATTTCAGCTTTTCTAATGCTAATCAGCTGCTCCTGTTTGTAAACCCGCTTGTTCCCATGATTACGCATCTTAACTCATCATCATTATTCATCTATGTATTACTTTTATGTATTAGTCATCTATTTGTTGTAATCATCTATCCTTGCAGTTGTTTGTTACACAAAATAAATTATATTATCACACTTCTGGCCACATAGCGCTGATATTCATTGCACATGCCCATATTAACTTTTTCCAGCCAGGTGTTTTCCTTTTCCCATTCTTCCCTTTCTCTGAGGGGAACAAACATTGCTGCTCTAATGCTGGGCTCACACTGTGCGGTTTTAGGCCCATTTTGAGCCGATTTTTGACCGATTTTGGCCTTCATCGTGCATCGTGTAGTATACGTGGGGTAACGAGAAGTGATTAACACCTCACGACCAGCTCCCGATCATCAATCGCTCGTGAGGGTCTCATCACAGCCGCTCACACTGCTCGCGCGCAAACACGTAAACGTTGGTGTAAAAGACGGTGCAGCACGGCTGTGCAGCGTGTGATCTGGACACAGGCGATGGAGGCACAACTTGTAGAACTTTGGAAAGCTCATCCGAGCCTTTTCGATGTGGCATCACAAAATTATCACGACCACAACAACCGTGAAAACAGTTGGATTTACACTGCTGCTCAATCACAGCTGCCTGATCATGTTTTTCATTAGCAATTTAGCAAAGTTGATGGTGGTGGTGTGTGTGTCTGTGTGAGTGTAAGACGGAGAGAGAGAGAGCGCGACAGATTTTCTGTTATAACCTTCATGTTATGGAGGCACAGTGTGAGCACTCAGGTCGCATCAGAGCATCGGGCGGTATAGTGTGAGACCCTGCATCGTGACCTACCAACTTCTAACCCCTGCGAGTCAATCGTGCAGTTTGAGCAGGAGCTGAATAACGTGACTGAAAAAATCGCACAGTGTTTGCCCAGCTTTAGGTGTACTGTCGTCCGAGACTTGCACCGCCGTGTCGGCGTTTGTTTCCCTGTTGGCCATGCTTCTTGTTGTGGTCATCTGTTGTCTTCCGGTATTTTCTCCGTAAGCGACCTTTCCTCGACCAATGAGATGAGCGGTAATCTGAATTGTCATACTCGAATTGTCATAAGTGTGCTGTCAGCTCATTGGTCACAAAGCAGGAGAGGGGCTGGGAATTATGTTTTCAAACAAAGCGTTAATTCCATTAAAAGTTATAGACTACTTTTGATTCTCACTGTATTACGGAACAAAGTGCGTCCCTTATTAGCTCAATACGGGACGTGTACTTTTGTTTCGAAATACGGGACGATTCCGTATTTTAAGGGACGGTTGGCAACCCTAGTGGATGGAGAACTTGATAGAAAGCAGGAAACAGAGAGAGAATAAGACAAAGGGGAAAAGCAAACATCTATAATCTGATGAAGCGAAAGAAGAGATAAAGGCACTGCCCATCTGTGTGTGCCCCTGGCTGCCTGTTGACTGCATGAACTGCATAAAAGACATGTGTGTCTGGGCATTTTAAAGCCACCCATTTTAAAATTCTCAACATGGCTTTCACCTTGTTGTTTTTGCTTTGTTTTTGTTTTTTAAATATAGTCAGAAGTGACTACATTTAAACAAGAGGGTTAACTGTTATCAGCTAATGCTAGCTAGCTTGGTTAGCATGCTAGCTTGGTTAGCCTGCTACCCAATCTATTATCCAACCAAGGGTTAGGGTATCAATAAAGTATCAATAAAGTGTATGTGTGCACGCATGGATCCAGATACCTGCTAATTAGGGTTGAGTAATGAACACAGGAAATTGTAGAATTTAACTCACCAAAATCTTAGCAGGGACTTTTTGGATGGGACGCTAGTACAGTAAACTACACAGCAAGCCACACTGGAAGGTACACTATATAGATAACATTGGTCACAACCCTTAATTTTTGAATTCACGTGTTTTCAATCCCACTGCCACATGTGTATATAATCAAACACCTAGCCATGCAGTCTGCTTTTACAAACATTGGTGAGAAAAAAATTAGTTTTCAAGAGTTTACTAAATTTAAACGAGATGCTGTAGTGTAATAGGATGCCACTATGCAAAAAGTTAGCTTGTGAAATTTCTTCCCTCCCAGATACTACATGATGTGATATTACTGTAAAGTGGAAGCGTTATAGAGCGGGGTTGCTGAGTACTGAGGCACATATTTTGTTAAAGTCACCACAAGCACTTTGCTGACTCAGTAACTCCTGTGTCATTATCATCAAAAACTGTGTGCCGGGAGCTTCATAGCTCATGGGTTTCCAGGGTGGAGCAGCTCCTGTTGGTGTAATGTGTAGGTGGCCTAGTGAAAAAAAAAAAGATTTAAAAAAATATATACTTACCAAATAAAGTGTATGTTTTAGTACATTAAATGGTGAACAGGATGGGTGTAGCTACTTTTGCCATTCAAAGTAGCTACAAAGTAGCCCATATTAAATGCTTAACAGATTTTAAATGGGTGAATTATAAAAACATTCACACTTTGTTATGAAAGGGAAAGTGCTCTATAAGAACTACAATCATTTTCTATCTGGTGGAAAACATGTTTATTTCTTCTGTAAAGTTGAGTATTTTAACATGAAACGGCATGGAGACTTGACTCTGCTTTTGGGGCAAGCCTCAAGTGGTCGTTCAGGGTACTACAACTTTCACTCCATCATTGGCTTTCCTTTTAATTTCTGGAAGTTTGGATGGCTGACTTACTTTATATATGCATGTGTTCATTAACAACAGGTACTACAACATAGCCAACAGACCAGTGAAGATCAACATGAGATGAGGAGCATCCTGTCCAAGGCGCTGCTTACAGTTAAGGATGAGCTGGACTCTCTGCCTCATCCTTCCTCACCCCAATCTGAAGGGCCCCCAGGGGTAAACTGTGACGGAGAGAAGGCCCTGGCTCTGCTGGAGCAGTACGCTGAGCTGCTGGTGAAGTCTGTAGAAAAGAGACTAGACACCAAGACCTGAAGAGATAGACTAATGTTTGCAGGGCCCATAAACCAGGAGGAGAAAGAGAGACGAAGACTCTATAGCACTCTTAAATGCACAATTGTTTTTTTTGCACAGAGACCATTTGGAAAATGGATGTTGAGTATTATTGTCTAGAATATATATATATATATATATATATATATATATATATATATATATATATATATATATATATAATTTTTTTTTTTTTTTTTTTTTTTTTAATTGCCTTACTTTCACATTGCTGTTGCTCTTCTTTCTCTGTGGAGCATTTTTTAAACTATCTAATTGAATTTTTCTAAGTGAATGTTACAAAGGGAAACACTGGAGGGACAAAGGTGATGAAGTCACGTGAAGAGCAGAGGTAGTCCAAAACTAGAAGACCACATGGGTTTAAAAAATATGCCACAGTTTTTGTTAATTATACACACAACTTTTGTTTATTTATTTTTTTCTGCTATTAAACTGTTAGTAATTGGATGAGAGTAATATTTTTTAAGCAAAGTAAATATATGTGGATAGAAACGTACTGAGATGTTTTTAGTTTTTACTGAATTTAAAAACAAATTATGTCCATAAGATGAAGCTAATCATTATTTGTTCCCAGTATAAATATCCAGGCTCAAAATTCCGCCTCGTCGTCTGTGTAGCTGTTCTGTTTTGTGGAAGTTGAAGCCTTGACCCAAATGTGATGTTAGCTTAAGGGTCTGGTACAATATCTATAATTTAACAATATGCTGCTCTTGAGGTAAAAATGCTAACGTTTGGGCTTAAAGGAGTGAGGACAGAAATGGTTTCACTGAGTTTTTACTGTAGGAAAGAGCTTTTCAGGCTACCTCTGTCAGTCGTTGACAGAGGTAGCTGATGGTGTTTTCCTTGTAAAACTCACTGTAACTTTGGTGAAACGATTGCTTGTCGACATGTATCACACAGTCGATCATCCAGTTAGTTCCTTTTATACGTTTGTGCTGATTTTTTATTTCTCTGAAAGAGAATTTCTCTTATTTTACTGTTATACAGTTTCATAGTGTTGATCTGTTAAAACAAAACACAATAAAAACATGGACTTGATTACACTAGGACCCTTGTACATTTATTATTAAAGGATTTCTACAGTTAATACTAATCGAGAGGTAATAATCATGAACCAGTGTTGCCGTTTTTTTCCAACATCGGTGCATACATAGTTCTCAGTTATCTATTAGTTAGTAGGACTTTCATATTATAGATTATGTTATTGTCTACAATAAAAATAGTAGCAGTAGCATCTATACAGAAAATCAAATGCCTCTGTGCATGAAGTGATTAGTGCTGTGGCACAGGACGTATTCCTTATTGTTAAACAATGAGCTCAGCTCATTACCTTACACATCACAGGACCAACTAACATGCTTATTTATCCCATTTTAGAGCATAATGCTAAACATTAACTGAAACGTTACCCCCAAGATGTAGCCTGTAAATACCGTAAGAGTATGTGTCACACCATTAATCTACGTATATGTATCTCTGCTGCATAAACACACAGTCGTATATATGCGTTCATCTGTGTGGCTAAAGCTGAATTTCTTAAGGAAGTGTCTCCACATTGACGTATGTGAGGACGACATCATGCAAGATGTTGATTCTGTCGATCTGGTTGAGCTCTCTGATGCGGTGACGGAACTCAAACAGGGGGATGTTGTTCACTGCCACCCTGAACGTCTCAGGCGTGCACAGGATCTTCATCTGCAAGAGAACACACCACCAGTGACATCCTTACATTGAGACTATGACATCTTATGTGTACAGGTAAGAAAGTTCTTCACCAGGTATTACTAAATAAAATTTAAAAAAATATATATATTTTTATTATTATATGTATGTATGTATATATATATATATATATATATATATTAGGGGTGCAACGATACTCGTATCGATATTGAACCGTTTGATACAGTGCGGTACGCATATGTATGAACAATACAAAATTTGTAATTTATTTTATCAACTTTCCTTCTGACGATGCTGTCTGTGTTGAGCGCTCAGTGTATCTGCGTTCGACTACTCCGCCTAGGCTGCACTGTCGAGCGCAGTTCCACTGAGCGTTCAACACAGACAGCATCGTCAGAAGGAAGAGCACAGGGCAAGCTAGCGAGACAGAAGTTAAGCTCTCCTTGCAACATGGCAAATTGAACCTCCCCCACCCTCATTCAGATCTGGCGTTTGGAATTATTTTGGTTTTCATGTGAGGTATGACCCTGAAGGTAAGCGCGTCATGGACTAAAGTAAAACAGTATGTTGGATGTGCCACGCAATGCTCAATTACATGGGTGGGAACTAGTGTGTTAGCGCTCGTTAACGTGTTGGCCGTCTAGCCCCATGCAGGGGTAGCTCGTTAACGGAGATTTGCCGTGTTGTGGCGTTAACGTCATTTCAACGAGATTAACGCTGACAGCACTAGTGGGAACACAACGAATATGACTGCACATTTACTCCTACATCATCCTAGTGCAAAGACAAGTGGAAGCAGACAAAAACAACAAGCATGCATGCTACAAACTTTACCCGAGTCATTTAGACAGCCGTTAGCACATGATTCTCCTTATGGGGACCTGATATGTTTAATATTGTGGTGAGCTCAGACAAGGAGGAGACGTAGGTGTCGTTTGGTCTTGCTTCCCGTGAGCTAGCCAGGGAGCACAGCCGTTTATTGACATCTGCAGAAGAACACTGCCGCTAGCTAACTGCTCAGCGCGGCAACCGCACAGCAACAACAACACACAGAGCGCCCTCTGACCCCGGAAGGACACACCGTCGCAGCGAGAAGGCGTCACCCGTCACTATGGCAACATAAACAAAACATAACTGTACAAACAGAACCCCGAACAGCCCTGACCCGCTACATAGCCCCCACCTAAGGGGTCAGTCGTCCCCGACGACCCCACACAAAGTCCTGCAAATGTCCAGGTGCCTTCTTTTGGCGCACCGGCCGGTCACGACCGGCGGGGGAAAAGTCACTCGGGTCAGAACATGGGGTGCCACCATCATCCCACTTCTGACACCAATGTGGCGAGCTCAGACAACGAGGAGACGGAGGTGTCGTTTGGTCTTGCTTCCCGTGAGCTAGCCAGGGAGCACAGCCGTTTATTGACACCTGCAGAAGAACACTGCCGCTAGCTAACTGCTCAGCGCGGCAACCGCACAGCAACAACAACAACACACACGGCGCCCTCTGAACCCGGAAGGACACACCGTCGCAGCGAGAGGGCGTCACCCGTCACTATGGCAACATAAACAAAACATAACTGTACAAACAGAACCCCGAACAGCCCTGACCCGCTACAATATGCTGCTGAGAATATAGCCCAGAAGAAGTGTATAGTATAGCTTTTATTTTGGAAAGAGCCATTTCTCTGTAATAAACTCTCTTTTCCAAAGATGCCAGCCAAAGAAAAGCTCACCACAAAACGGAAAAGTAATGACAAATCAGACTATAAGGCAAAAAGAAAGTGCAGCTTTATGATTTCATGGACAAAAGAATTTCTGTGGCTGCAATATGACGCGCTATATAACCGGGGCTGCACATAAGTGGTCCGCAGGTGCGCATTCGCTGTCAAAACAAAAAACAAAAAAACGCGCACAAGATATGAAGTTGCAACGCGTGTTTGCATACATACGATTTTTTGGAGGAGGACAGAAATTTGTTTAAAACTCTTAAAGATGTCGAAGAAGCTCCTTTAAGCAATTACTTTGGTGTTCCTCTACCTCCAAAGAAATGTCAGAAGGAGTCCGAACCACAAAAGAAGCGCGTATTCTCGGAAAAGTGGTTGCAGGAGGTGAGCTGGCTTCAAACAAATGATGAACGCACAGAGGTGTGGTGCGGAATGTGCCGTGAAAATCCCACTCTAGCGGACAAAAACAGTGCTTTTTATATGGACGCAAACGCGCGTTGCAACTTCTTATCTGGTGCGCGTCTTTTATTTTGACAGCGAATGCGCACATGCGACCACTTATGTGCACCCGTGTAAATAACATAATGTTCTGCCGGGTGTGTTGTTGGTTTTCTCTCGATTTCTGAGTCGACAAGCGCCTTTGTTACTGGGACCAGTCATTTTAAGAAAGGCCCCCATTAGAATCCATGAGAAATGCAAGAAATGCATTATTGCTCAGTCTGCAATATCTTTCCCAGAACAAACACCAATTGCAAATAACATACTAAAAATAAACCTGAAAAATCTGTTTAGAACAGCGTACTATGTTGCAAAGAGTGAACTACCACTGGCAAAATTTAGCAGTCTTTGCAAGGTTCAAAAAGCAAATGGCCTCGATCTTGGTTCCACTTGTCTCTTACCCGTGACTTCAGCGGAAATTTCAAATTCAGGATCTGACCCAGACTGATTCATGTCCTACACAGTTCTTACAAGTTCATAGAAATTTCTGTTCAATTAGAACCAAGTATTTGAGTTGATGATTGTAATTTTTATACAATGTTCTAATTTGTTTTTCAACAATTTTTTGATTAATGTTTTGTTTCCTTTACAATATTATACTTTAATGTATAATATTGTAAAGGAAACAAAACAGGAAACAAAACATCAATCAAAAAATTGCTCTCTTTTTTATTCGGGCTGCTTACATTTATTTTGGGCTACCAAAAACTGAAGAGTCCCTGCCCGAAGGGCTACCAGGGATTTTGAAATTTTGAGAGCCCTGAGATATATTTATTTTTTTAATTACTTTTGTTTCAACAACATTACATTTAAAAACTGTACTTTTGAGTTAAAATATATATTTATAATTTTAATAAATGACAAATTAAAAAGACATGAACATTTTTTTTGTATCGAAAAAATATCGAACCGTGACACCAAAGTATCGAACCGAACCGTGAATTTTGTGTATCGTTGCACCCCTAGCATTTAGGCGTGTAGACATAGTCAAGACGACCTGCTTAAGTTAATCCAAGCATCAGAGTGAGAAAGAAAGGCGGTTTAAGTGACTTTGAATGCATATGGTTGTTGGTGCCAGAAAAGCTAGTCTGAGTATTTACAAACTGCTGATCTATTAGGATTTTCCCCACACAAGCTTGAGCTCCATTTTTCTCGGTGAAAATGTCTTGCTGATGCCAGACGTCAGAGGAGAATGGCCAGACTGCTTCGAGCTGATAGGAAGGCAATAAGCACTTATTACAACTAAAATACGAAGAAGAGCTTCTCTGACTGCACAACACATTGAAGCTCGATGCAGATGGGCTACAGCAGCAGAAGACCACACTGGATAACACTCCGGTCAGCTAAGACCAGGATAATGAGGCTACAATTTGCACAAGGTCATCAATATTACACAATAAAGGGTTGGGCTGATGAGTCTCAATTACTGCTGTGGCATTCAGATGTGAGCATCGTACCAGAATCTGGTGTAAACAACATGAAAACATGGATCCATCCTGCCTTGCATCAACTGTTCAGGCTGAGGGTAGTGTAATGGTGATGGGGATATTTTATTTACACCACCGGAGCATCATTTAAACACCACAGTCTACCTGAGTTTTGTTACTGTTATCTTCTACTCATCTTCTAATGGCTGGTTTCAGCTGGATAACCCATCATGTCACAAAACTCAGATCATGTCACAAATATGCTTTCCTGAACCTGTCAGCAAGTTCACTGTACTCAAATAGCCTCTACACCAAATCTGAGTCCAATAGAGCATGTTTGTGATGTTGTGTTCATAGTTGCATCATAGATGTTCAGCCAACAAATCTTCAGCAGCAGTTTGATGCTGTTGTGTCAACATGGACCAGCATCTCTGAGGAATGTTTCCAGCACCTTCTTGTATTAGTTGCCACAAAGACCCTAACCCTAGCCAAAAGGGGTCCAACAAGATACTAGCAAGGTGTAACTAATGAATTGTTCAGTTAGAATATGTCACCTCTCATTAATTAAATTAATGTCAAGTTGAAAAGTGCAGTGTTATTTCCACTTATGCTCATTGTAAAACAAATACTTTAGAGAAAACTCATTGAAAGTGCAGGCCCAGGAGGAGGAGCAGCAAAAGTGAATTCTCATGCGATCACTGGTTTCAAGTTAAAAAAAAAAAATCTGCGATCACTGAAAATTAATTGAGCACACAATTATTAATTAGCCTAATTGCAAAAACATGGTTATAGAATGACCCGTGAGTGCCACAGATTTCCCAGCTTTTGACCTCCTGGCTCCTTTTATCTGCATCTGCCTCATGGCTGTGATACCCGTGATAACTGTTTTTAATTTTACAAGAACAAAAAATGAGACTTACTGTTTAACAGAAGTAAAGTAAAATTGGTCTTTTCAACACAAAGTATTACAATTTGACATGTAAGTGATGCTGCACAGATCAAAGCTCACTTCTGCTGTATGTACTGTATAGTACACATTATAATGTCAGCAAATCAGTTATTAGAAGAAGTAGCAGTAACGAGTGCCTGTTAACACATTGTGTTATTGATGTGAGTGAACACAAACCCAGGACCGTTGGACACAAAGACAGAATCAGCTCCACAGATTAGTCTCCTCTTTACGATGCCTGTTAAACATAAGTGTTATTGATGTTACTGAGCAACATGAGACCCCCACTGACCTCCAGGAGCCTCCCTGCAGCATAGCAGCTCCCTTATCTAGGACCCGCCTGCACAAACGACTTTCCAACCCTTTCCATTTTTTCGAGGCCTAACGTTTCCCATGAGAAAGTGACCTAGAGTCAGTTAAACGCACAAGGATCAGCAGTAAAACTCATTTTATTGCACGTTAGTAGTTTTAGTTTAGTTTCATCTAATTAGTTATTAGTTTTTAAAAGTATTAATAATGTAAGAATTGTTTTAAACTTCTGAAAATTGAGATTAATGATTTAAAAAGTGATCTTCAGTTTGTTTTGTGCTCTGAAGCGATCCAACGATTAATACAACACAATATAGCCTCTCATGGGTGCTTCAGCCCACTGCCCTGATCTAATTTCGGTCACTGCCACTCACCTCAAAAGGGCTCCCAAGCGCAAAAGGGAAGGGACCCTTCAGGTCTCTCTCTTCGGCACCCCAGCGTTCACCCAGTTTGTGGTTGCGGACAAGCACCTGCTTGCCCGCCTCGTTGAAGCGGGGGTTGATGTGAAAGGCGATGTCGTTGCCTCTGAGGAAGTTCACTGTGAACCTGCGGGAGACCAGACTGATTCAGACTAAAGAAAACATGCTCTCAAGAACCTAATGCAACATGAAATCCACCTCGTTTTTCAAAGACACTGAGGGCACACAGACGCAGGCTTACATTTTAGCGTTAGGTTTCACATAGCCCAAGATCGTCATCATCATTTTGTCATACACCCCTCGGGCCAGGTTCAAGTTGTATGGCACGCTCTAAACAGCAAAGAGAGAGGAGCACAGTAAAACAGCCTGGCAGCAAACTAACACACCCGGTTCCTTGCATTTGACTCACTAGAGGTCCAGATGTGGGTGGGAGCCAGTGGGGAGGCATGATGGATGGATTCTGCCCAGGCCATCCTGATTGTCCCGGGTTATAGGGCCAGCCGGGATTTGCAGGCCAGCCTGGTACATTTGGATGGATGCTGGGAGCAGGTGCAGGCACTGGAACTGGAGTTGGAGTTGGATTTGGGACTTGAACTTGAATTGGAGCTGGTGGCTGAGGAGGCTGGTACTGGATGCCTGGCCAGCAAGGCTGACAGGGCTGCACTGCAGTTGGAGCTGGAACTACAGTTGTGGTTGGCGCAGGAGGTGGTGTTATGACTTGAGTGGGAGATTGGAGTGGAATTGAAGTGGGGACAGAGACTGGAGCTGGTTGCATCCCAGGCCAGCAGGGTGTGTTTGGCTGGCCTGTCCAGCACGGTGCGGGTTGAGTGGCCTGTCCTGGCCAAGTGGGGAATCCAGCTCCAGAAGGTGACAGGCTGGGCCAAAGGCTGTTAGCCTGTGGGGCAGAACCAGAGGACGGGCAGCTGCCACACAGAGGATCAGAATGCTGAGACAGAGGAGGAGGCGGAGGAGGAGGAGAGGAGGAGGAGGATGGAGAAAGAGAAGGGTCAGGAGCCAAGATGGAAATACGTGGGAGGGAGAAGGTGGACACGATGGAGGACACCAACTTGAAGTTGCAAACATAAGCAAAAAGTTATACATTTACATTAAGGTTGGATAACAGAGGAGAATGCAATGCACTCATTCTTACCAGAGTAGAGATCTGAGAATTTGATGAAGTACTTACATCCATGCTGCCTGTCAGAAAAAAATTAATGGAGCTTTTATTGATTTTAGCCTTTTAAACCACAATTAAAAAAAAAAACAACCAAAAAAACAACCTAACAGGACTTTATAGAGATAGAAAGAAGCTAAATCTTAGTGTGCAGTTGCAAACACTGATATCAAATGAGAGAGACATGAAAATAAAGCTTTTTTAAATATTATCATTATTATTTTACAAGCTGGGAACATGCTCTGTAGTCACACTGTGCTTTGACAGCAGAGTTCACAAGGTGACCACCAGAGGACTCTACAGCTTTTCAAGATGTCAGCGCACGGTAGAACAGGAAGATTGTCCAACTTCCTATACGCAGATAATTAAGGCTTACCCATTACCACGAGACATAGTAATTGGCTGATGACCACAGTAAACATCTTGAGTCATGGAGAAACATAGTGGCACATTGATTTGGGTCAACACGGTGACTTATATGCACTTAAGAAGGAATGCACAGTAACAATAACTCTCCGTTGTTAACCTTACAGCTTTTTTCAATGCAGATTGAAACTAACTATACTTTCTGTTTGCTTCTTAATGTTTCCTGTTGCTATGAAATAATAACAACATTTCATTTAATCTACAGTCAATAAGTCAGATATGGATAATAGTGCACAAGTTGTCATAAAATGTAAAATTTCAGACAGGAAGTTAAAAATGTCCTTGATTTGGACTTCCTGTCCACTCCTGCCACCTTTATCATAACCAATCAACATTAATCAGTCTGATGAGTTACAGTTAAATGATATCTTTATTATTAAAATTTGTTGTGTTCTTAAATTTAGAGCACATTTTATGGCCTATTTGTCTTAGAGAAGAAGATTTTGAGCAGCATTTGCAAAGCTCTCCCAGGACCCAGACCAGGAAAGAATTTTTCACTTCACCTTTTACCTGTTAGAGTGTGCCGTTTCTGATCCATTACATAAAAAGACACTGCAGCAGATAAAAAAAAATAAGAATGGAAGTTACCTCAACTTTGCTCTAGTCCTCAGGTGCACACAGGAGCAGGATGTGCTGTGGTTTAAGGCAAAACGTTGACTTGGAGCACACAGAAACAGTCTTTTATAGCCTTAAATCCTCTCTTCGTTTGGCCCCTCCTCGTTCTATCACTCCACTTTCAGAATAAAGCCCCTCCCTGCGTGTCAAAACTATGTGCGGAAAAAATATATTGCAGCTCAATTACCATTTTACGAGTTTTAATCAATGCCATTTCATTAAACTAAGTGTCAACTAAACTTAAGGGTTAAAAAGTCGCAAGCCGTTAAAAGGAAAGGTGTGGTGATCTTAAGATGATGTTAAAACTGCAATTTAACATAAAGCAAAGGGGAATCAGACAAAACTGAATCGTGTCTTAAAGTTTCAGGCATTACAAAACAGTGAAATGTACAGCCTATGACAAATGTTGTGTCCACTTTATTTACTCAAACTAGGTCCAATGGCAGCACAATGGCCTGTTTTTTGCAGTCATGGGACTGTGTAACACACTCATGCCATACCACTGTAGGCAACACAGAACACAATTACAGGGCAAAGAGAAATGAGTCAAAACTTAGTGCTGTTTTTTTGTACGTCTAGTTGATTCGGGCATTTACGACTAAAGTCACAAAGTGCTGCTTTGGTTTGGCCCTCGCATAGTTTGCTGGTTTCAGTTCGGCTTTGACTGAGTGATCCCTTCTTCCAGTCTCACATTTTTTTTACATTTACAGTGGACAAACCAACTGTTTGACATCTTTCAGCATTTATAAATATTAAGAGATTTCAGGTTCACACCTAGCTAAATAAATCTCCACTTAATCATCAGCAGCATGACAAATAACACTTGAACATGTGGCTTCACACAATCGCTATAGCTGTCCCCGCAACCTTATTAGATTACCAATCATCTGAGCTGAAAAATGTCAGAAATTGCAGAAACTCTTAGAATGCAGACACTTAAACCTCTGAGATTCTGTGGTTGGGTGTGCGATTTCAAACTCTATCTAGCGATACGCAGTGAAAATGTTTAACTTTCTTTAACTTTGACTGTCAAAAGGTTACGTTTTTGTTTCAGGTAAGCAGCCGAGGTACTTGTGAAATATTAGCAAGTAAAAGTTATTGTTGAAACACGGGCAGTCGGTAACATTAAGTATTATCACAAAGTGTTTCCTTTATGCAGGGAAAGGTTGACCCTCATGCAAATGAGTGCACTCACCACTGCAACGAACTAAGTTCAGCTACAGTCCATGTCTTTCACACAGTGCATTATTTGTCTACTGCATTTCTCAGGGCTTGCAGCAGTATTTAAGTGTTTCCTGTGTGCAGGTTATTGCATATTCAACCTGTGTGTGGACTCCAAGGGTAAAAGTTATAATCATAGTTCTTATACTTACTCATTAAACACCAACACCAGGGGTGTCAAACATAAACTGACCCACCTAAGATTCAATCTGGCCAACTGGATGGCTTACTATGTATAAAAATGCTCAACAATTGCTCTGATTTTTCCATGCGGTGCTCCTTCTGCTGTGAGGGTTACAAAGTGAGACAGTCATGGAATTTGAAAGTATTTTAAATTGTGCTTATGCAAATCCAATCAGTCTAATTAATATTTGCATGTGCATGAATGCAAACTCAACTTAGAAAAAAAGACTTAATGGTACAAAGACGTCGCTGTTGATCATCTGTTTGCAAACTAATGGTTCATTAAAAGGGAACATGTGCATACTTGTAATAAAGTAAATTAAAGGAATACATTTGAAGGCGTCATTTATACCTCCACCAAGGAGGTTATGTTTTTGGTAGTGTTTGCATGTCAATTTGCCCAACATCCACCAAAAGCCTTATAACTTAATAATCGATGATACTTACGCTAATACACTAATGGTGTGTGTTGTTGACATAAGGATTTTAAATGTCTTGTCACATTTGACCTTTGATCTCTCCTTCAAGATCAACAGAATGACGTGAAGGTCAAAGTGATAATAAAACTATGTAGAGCTATTTAACACTATGCCTCTTGCTTGACCATGTATAAGCATATAGGGAATCATATATGGGGATTTTCAATATAATGTTACTTAATTATATTATAATTTTTTTTCCAGAAAACAAAATAAACTTGCAATCAAACACATTTTTCACTTGATATTTCCTACCCAACATTTACACCAGTTTACTAAACAATGAAACAAATAATACACATGTATAAAAATAATAATTGTGCTCCAAACTACGTCAAGAATATTAATAACAAATAACAAAAGCCTGCACTTTGTGCTGGTTTTAACCGGACTCCAAACTTCAAAGAGTTTAACACTTTTGAACTACACACTTTAACGCTTTATCTCATGCTTATGCTATATGCTGTTAAAGTGACATGCTAATCTCTGAAATGTTTATTATGTTGTTTGACGAGTTCACATCATAAATTGCATAGAAACAACACTAACTGGCTGATTCTGCATCATTTTGTGTTCTGCCTTCATGCACTCGGGCACACGTGTTAACTTGCATTTACAATCATTAATTCTTCATGAGTGTTTGAGAGCAGCCAACCCCAGGAGCCCAGCGGCTCTACAGTGTCACGTTGGACAGTCTGGGGAAGTTGCAGCCTCTGGCAGTGTATGTGTGTGTGGCAGCACTAGAATTTGTTAAATTGAGCATCTGGGCTGATTAAATCCTAATGTCTCGTCATCTCATTTAAGCTGTTACAAGGCAAATTGTGTAGCTTTTTTTAAAAATTGATTTTTAATAGTTTCCACAATTAGATAACAAATAGATGAATGTTTGCCATTTGCCCAACAGGATTGTTGCTCAGCTCATTACAACAAACAGTGAACAAGGCAAAACATACTGAATAGTAATTTTATAGTTATCAGCATCTTGATTAAATTATATATTTATCACACTTAAATCAAATGGTGACATTTAAAGCAGAATATGATTTTTGTTAGTAAAATTTAAAGTTCTAGTTTTTACTGGCTGATTTTCTTTTCGATGATTCACTTTTCCTCTGTCAAGCATGACTACCAAACAATGAAAAAAAAAGCTCTATAGAATTCACACTGCCTGTCTTATGAGTTGGTGGAGACCAAAACAGAAACAAAAGTGAACACAAAAGTAGATTTTCATTCATCAGATGGCCAGACCTTGTTTGTCTGCTGTAACAAGATTTTTTATATTTTTAAGATTTAGGCCTAGTTTTGTTGCTCCCAGGTGGGAAAACTGGTTTAAAAATGACACCTTACAGTTTGAGATGCCTTCTGAAGGTCAGATGTTAACTAATGCTAAGCTAAAGCAATGTTCTAAATGTGCTAACTGGCTAAAGCGAAGCGCCGTTGTGCTTGAATAAGCCACGATAACCTTTGAGGGGTGAACACTTGCTGTTAAAAGTGAAGCTCAAACTCGAAGCAGCTGGGCAAAAGGAGAAGTTTCATATACTTACTACCACCTTATAGCTATATAAAAAGGGTATTCCTGTAAGGATCAGAAGACTTCTTCTTTTTTGTTGTTGCTTGGGATGCATAGTGAGAGGATAGGATACTTCCAAAGAAACAATCAATAACATTTAGTTTATGTCTCCTCTCCTGGTTGGCCTCTCCAGGGCATGAACTGACGTTTGCTTCCTCAATCAAGTCTGAAAACAAAAGCTGCAGCTCACATATAATGCAACTGTAACAGATATAGCTATATTTGAATAAGAAAGCAAACTACATCTCTTCATTTAAGTTTACCATGTGGTCATGACATATGCTGCTCAACGGGAGAGGGAGTAATGATGTCACTTGCAGGAGATCTCTTGTTGTAGTTTCAGCCAATGGGGTAGCTGAGAGAAAAAGGAGGAAACCGTGAGGCGTGCTGCTGTTAGGCAGAAGAGAGCATACTGGCAGGAGCAGGGTTTTCCAAAGCAACAACGGTGGCATTAGTCTCTGATAAGCTCTGGGCTTTGTTCCAAGTGTGGGTTCAACGCTTGTCAGATGAGTACTGCCCTCAACTTTATACTTTTGTCTCTTTGCCCCTTCTTTCCAACTACATGTGCAAGAAAAAAAAACTGAATGTGTGGAATGAGACACCTCTTCGTGGTAATCCTACAACGGGTAATGGTTTGGAGTGTTTAGTCAGAGGAGTAGTTTTCCATCCGGTAGCAATAACCTGTGGCTCTCACCAAGAGCTAAAGATGGTGTTGTGCCTTCAAACACTGAGTGAAGAAGAGAGAGTAAATCAAAGAGTGTGTAAGAGTGGAGTAAGAGTGAGGGAGATGGTTTCAAATACACGGTTATTGCTTCAGTTGCCATGGGGACAGTAGCATGTTTGTGTGTGTGTGTGTGTAAACCTGAGTATGTTTATGTATGTGCATTGAAATTCCAAACATCATATCTGGGCCACTGTGAAATGAGTTTAGTATCAGAAAAAATCACATTATTCAAACAGAGATGCCTGGGCTGATGTTCCAAGAATAACAAAAACCCACATTAGAACTCCTGCAGCTGCACTGTCGTGACCTGCGTACTCCCTCAATCCACCACTAGATGGAGGTGTCAAATATTCACTGGGGAGGTTGCAGTCATGTGGTGGGCAAACCCCTGATCTCAAAAAGGCCATTGGATCGGCTCATTTTTTCAGGTCAGCTGATTCCTTTGTGGAAATCACAGTAAACATAGTAGTTCTGGAGTTTTCTTCCAGAACTACTATAGTCCACTTCTGGACAACTTAGTCCAGTCGTGTCAAAATATCAGTACAATTTATTAAACTCCCCAGCAGTGTAATCCAGTTCATCAGCCTCACCATCCAAGTATGGCATAGTTCCCAAATCTTGCTATCACCCTCAAATTTTAACCACACTTCAAAGCTGTAGTGTGTCTGTGTGTGTGTGTGTGTTTTTTTTTTTCCGGAGATGGTAAATCAGCTGTTCCATCCTGGATGCAGCTCTGTCCACAATTCAATTTTATTATGATTGAAAGCTCAATTACCATCCAAAAACACCACCGCCCCTCCTTTGACAGATGTGGCTGTCTGTAAACCCCATAATAAGTGTCGCATATCCTGGAATAGTCTTCTG